AAAATGGGGTGTGTGGGGTGCTACGCAGAAGCAGAACCAAGGTGGCAGGCAGCAGGGAACACTTCGTACATCCACAGAGAAGGGCGAGAAGAAATGAGAAGGAAAAAGCAAGAGCGGGGGAGCAAGGGAGAGATCGACCGACCGCTCAGGTGGACACACCTGTCTTTTGTGATCCCGTCCCAGAACACACTTCACATGTGTCAGAGGATTCGGGACCAGCTCCGTACCCATATGCAATGCATTGTGAGGTTTTCAGTTCTGCCATGTCCTATCTGACCCTATTTTCCCTTTTCATTCTGGTAGCAACCATTAAATTGACCTTGTGACCCGTATTCATGGACTGTCGGCCATGAATATGAGAACTGGACTGTGTTATAAATCTGTGTAAGTTGTATTTTAAGCATGTAGGTTGCATTTTACAACATTAATCCATGTTGTTGAACCCCACAATGCAGGATACTAGCATTGCATGATAGCCCATCTGATGTAGTAATCTTTAAAACTATCTCTTTATAACGTTGGTGATGAAAAATGGGCTTCTGGGCAGTCGGAGTAATCCTCGTTGGGTTTGAAGAGCAGAGTGTCCCCTGGAGTGAGCCCAGTCTTCTGCACCTGCAACCAGGAAAGCCTGCTTTCTGCAGAGTTGCCTCCCTTCCTGGCTTTCTATGTCCACATGTGCTTGACAGACATCAGTTGATGAGGACACCAGAAATCGAGCTCTCTGAGGACAGAGATGAGCAGTGGGACCAGGCCAGGGTGATACTCAGTCATGGGCTGCCGGGGGCCACCTTTCCTCTTCCCTGTGGGGCCTTGGACAACAGTAGACAAAATTTGCCAGTCTGCAATTGAGCATTTCAAAGTTCTGCCGCTCGGTGGTTGGGGAAAATGCTTTGCAGTGTTGACTCGGGGAATGGGTGTCGAAGACCAAAGGCACCTGCCACAGAGAAGTCATGGCTGTCTCCCTTCCCAGCCAGATGGAAAGGGGAAGGCTTTGGTGGCATGGTGAAAGCTGAGCCCCCCAGGTGACTTCAGTTGTCCCTGGGGTGAATCCAGTGTTTAGGGGCAGCGTAACCAACTCAGTGTGCTGGGCTACTGACTCCACACCGAAGCCATGAACAAGGGTGAGACCTGAGAAAGCAGGAGGCAGTGAGTGTCCTTTAGCGCTGCACCCAGGGAGAGACACGGGTGCCAGAGGGGCCAGGCAGGCTCTGTCTTCCTCTCCTTTCTCCAAGTTGGCAATGAAGCACCCCCACCTTTTCTGGCAGAATTGGCAAGAATTAGAGTGTCCCCAAATGGTCATGCCTGCCCCTTCTGTGTTGGCCAATGGCCAGTAATGTCCCATTCCCTCCTTCCCTTTGCCTCTCCTGAGACAGATTTTTTTTTTTTTTTTTTTTTTTTTTTTTGGG